ATGATTCAGGGCCCCAGGCTCCTTCCATCCCGTAACATAGAGGTCAACAAACATTTTCTGTAAAGGGCCAGATAGTAAATGTTTAAGGCTTTGTAGCCATAGGGTCCCTGTTTCGACTATGTAACTCTGCCTGTGTGGTTGTGGTTCCATCAGCAGTGCAGTTTATACTTTAACAGCTTGGAGTGTTGGGGCACCAACACTCTGTGCAGTCGAAAGTCTGCATATAACTTCCGGGGTATGCATACAGGCTTCCTCTGTATCTGTGGTTCCATATCTGAGGGGTTCACTAATGGTGGACTGTGTGGTGCTGTAGTATTTACTACTAGAAACTATCTGCATATAAGTGGACCTGTGTTGTTTGAGGGGCAACTATACTTTAAGATGAACAGGTATGGTTGCGTTCCAATGAAACTATTTACAAAAACAGGCAGCCTGCTGGATTTAGCTTACTGCTGCCACATAGCCTCAGAGACTTCTGCATTTAGTTAGTGATTGGGCAAAAGGGCGGCATCCCTGGTTCTTAACCACATGGCCCAGAAATGAGGAACAGCATTTTCTCTATCATATTGCTGGTGAGAATGAAGCGCCATCTAGATAAAAGGGGGGAGATGAGGAAATGCAGTCCCTGGCTGGACGTGGCCACTCACAACTCTAAAGGATGGAGGAAGGTGTGGGGCTAGGGCTGCAACTAGCTGTCTCTGTCACAAACTATATTCTCCTTAATTTGTTTCTTTTTTTCAATCAGCACATTTATTTATCCTTATATTAATTATATACTATCTAGTATATTTTTTTTAAGCAACAGAACACTTTTTTCCAAATAAAATCTTAAGAGGAAACACAGTATATACAGAACACCAAAGTGGAAGTGCTCTAGAAATGAAGCAGGAGTGTGAGTGTGAGAGAGTGTGTGTGTGTGTGGTGTGTGTGTGTGTGTGTGTGTTGGGAGGAGGAACCGAAGGTTATCAGTTCAGCTTTCCCCTTGACAGAGATAATGGCCTTAGGGTAATTTTCTGGGGAACATGCAACCACAGTTGAAAAGCAACGCCATAAAGTTAATACTGTGATAATAATGTACAGTCTAGAATATCATAGAAATCCTCATTTCAAGGGGGAATTCAGTAAATTATTGTTTATTTTTAATCACCTGAAATTTAAATCCTTTCCAATTACTCTCTGAGTTCCTTTGAGTAACTACAATCTCTCTTGGATAGTACCACTTATGAAGCTCTTAGGGGAATTTATTATAGGGGACTTGACTCATTCTTTTCCCTCTCTGCTTCTTCCACTTAAGTCAGGTTGAAAATATTTTTATTTTTCAGTTTTCTTTAGAAAAGGTGAAGATATTAAGCTACTCTTAATCTCTTTATATCCCCCATTGCTTCAAACACATGAAAGGATGTTCTAGTATTCAGTCAGCTTTGAACTTCCTATTCTTTCATTTCATTTTTCTTTTGTTCCAAAGTAATGATTTTTTTTAAGGATTCTAGCTTATTAAGAACACCATTTTTAGAGCTGACACTATTCTTAAATGAAATAGAATAAAGAAGTAACTCACTAAAATTTCCCCAGGAGAGGTTTTGTCATAAAAAAAAGAAAATGTTGACCTCAATAAAGACCATCAGCAAGGAGAGGGGTTGAAGCCTTTCAGGAATTGATCTGGTGATTCACTGTCGTGTGATTGATTACAGTAATTAACCAATAACTATTTATCACACACCTGCTCTGTGCAAAGCAGTCTGAGATAGATGACATTAAGATACTTTTTATCTAGTAGGAAGGGCAAAACCAAGAATACCTTACATACAGATAGCCCATTAGTTGATGAAACAAAAAAGTTTTTGTGAAAAGAAAAACAGAAGTCATTTGGTAAGAAACACACAAATTGGTGTATGAATACCAGCCAATATAAGGGTATGTATTTATGAATTCATTCCATTGTTCATTCACTCACCAAACATTTATGAAGTGGCTACTGAAAGCCAAGCACTGTGCTAGGCACTGTGAAGCAGGGGAGGAGATGGGCCCAGGCCCTGCTTTCATGGGAGTCACTGTTACACCAGTAGTATCAGCATCAGGGAACTCAGCAGAATATTCTCAGGTCCCATCTTTAAAGGTGAGGCCCCGCAATCTGTGTGGTAAGCCCTTTAGATGATTTTGGTGCAAGGTAAAATTTGAGAACTGTTAGTTTAGAGGAAGGAAAACTCCACTGTGGTTGCAGTTTCATGGAAGAGGAAGAATTTGAATAGAACCCTTAAATTTGGAGGTTCATGAGGTGAGGAAGAGGAGGACTTCCCAGCTGTGAGAGAAACTGTCCCCCTGTCCCGATGTACACAGTCAGGGACAGCATACCAGCCACATTTCCTCCTCAACATCGTCTCCATCTCTCCTCCTTGCCATTGCCTCAGTTCAGGGCCTCACCAGTCTTAACTCTCTTCCCCATGTCCATTCCCACATCTCGAATCCCCTCTGCACACTGCTGCAACGGTGATCTTTCTACACCACCCAGCTGATCATATTATTCTTCTGGTGACAAAGTTTTCTATGGCTAATCTTTGCCCACATCCTACAGTCAAATGATGTCAGGAGTCAGGCAAGTAACTTGAATGTCCTCAGTGGCTTTGTTCAAGAAGAAAAGGACGAGCAGAGACCCCGGTGAAGGGAATGAGGGAGCTTACCATTTCCTTCCTGGAGGAATTTAGATTCAACAAAAGAATGTTGCAGTCCATATTAGACCAGGGCTGCCCGCATATCATCTCTGATCTGCAGGATCAAATCCAAAGTTTTCAGCACGACACCCAAGACTTTTTCCTATCAGTCTGTGTGTCACTTTCACTCACACCTCAAATCCAACATTGGTCATGTGGAACTACTACGAGCCGTTTGTGGAAGATACCAGGGCTCCAGGTCTTTGTTCTACTCTGCCTGTGAGGATGCCCTTTCCTGCCAAATTTACTAGCTACAAACATTTACTCATTTTCAAGATGCAGTTCAAAGTTCACTTGTTTTGAAGCCTTTTCTGACTTTGGAAGGTAGCATAGACCCCGTTGTCTCCTTTGTATTATTGTAATAATTCTGTTACATTCTTCTATTATAGTATCTGTTTCAGTAGTTTGCATATATCTGTCTCCAAGGCTGTCAGCTTCTGCCAGACTGTGAACTTGAAACTTCTTGAAAGCAAGAACCATACCCTACTAATTTTCATATGCCAGCTTCTAGCACAAGTTAGGAAGAAAATGAATGTTGAAAGTACAAGCAAAGATACAGAGATGAAAAAAGAAAAGCTGAAGTCAATCTAGAAATAGATTAGTTTCGCTGGGTGGAAATCTATTTTAATAGAGAATGGGAATCATATCTGGAAAGATAGTTTTGAATCAGATTACAAAAAATTTTAAGTAAACCTAAGTGTGAATAGGAGGCTATGGTAGTAGAGCCCCTTTGAAGATTTTGGTGCAAGAAAACACCCTGGCATTTTACCAAGGAATATGTTACTAAATTATATACAGCAATTAGAATATCATAAAATTTCTCGCCCCTTTCCAGACTAAAGGAAAGATAGGACTCATTGGTGATTTGTCACTTCTTATCCAAGATAATTTTATGATGTTACAAAAGGAAAAAGAAAGGCATGTTAGAACTATATGTTTCATATAAGTTTGGTCTCAAAGAAAACATCGTAGGCCTTTTCACACTATGATTTTAAAATATTGTTTAGCAATGGAGAGAGGAAAGAACAAGTTTGGGTACTTCTCACTCATTAAGTTTCAGTTGTATTTTATGACCACAAGTTTGTTTTAATTCCTCTTAAAGTACCTCTGTTGTATTGAATGAAGGTTGTGCTAAGAAGTGAATGAACAGGCCTTGGATCAAGGATGATTCAAGGTCATACTGGGCTTCCCTGAACTACTTTAGAAAAAGTGTATTTCCAAACACATTTTAATCCAGTACTAACCAGGAAAAGCTAAGCTTCTCCCAAATTCTTCTCTAGAGCTAAAAAAGAAGGCAGAGGCCTTTACTTGGAAATGAGCGCTTCAAGAGACATTGCCCGGGAAGAAATAAATACGCTGAAAGGTTCAGATGCAGATTAAATGGCCAATCTTTTTAAAGAAGGAAAAAGGACACAAAACACACCTGGGACAGCAGGTGAGCAGTGGCTAGTCATCTAAATAAATACCACTTTGTTGATTTCTTGCTTTTTTATATTTCCATGTTATTTTTCCCTTGATAGAGTCACAGCCAGCTCTGAGCAAGTAAAACTTACTGACATTTTCAAACATTTAGAACTAAATATCTACATTCTTCTTTATTCTATTCTTGTCTCCATTCTAGTCAGACATTGGGTGTAATATTTTGAGCACTGCCCCAGATCTGAAAACAATTTTTTAAATGCAAAAATACCTTTATCATTACAAAAGCATTATTTGTTTACTGGAGAAATAGTAAACAAGGCTAAGCAAAAGTAAGGGGGGAGGAACATCACAATTATTGTTCATACTTGCAGATCTCCCCCCCAAAAAAACTTAAAAAAAAAAGGAAAAATAGTTACAGTTTGCAATTTCTAACATGGTTTCAACATCTTTCCACATTAATATTCAGTTATAAAATTTTTTAACTGGCCGCACAGCGTTTAGATGTATCACAATAATACACACCCGATTTCCTGATGTTGGGCATTTTGGTTAGTTCTATTTTGTTATGTTTAACAGCTTTGGGAGATACAGTAATAACGCTAAGGATACAGTAACTTCTTTCATTCTTCTCTAGGATTGCAGTAGCATAGGATGATGTCCCTTTTCCCGCAGCAGCGGGATGTTTGGGCATTATTATTACCAAAAAAACACACACACAAAAACCCTCTTTGATAGGCGAAAAAGCTATCTCCTCGCGTTACGTGCACGTTCCTGGTTAGTCGCTGAGGTTACGCGAGAGGAGCCTTCCCTAGCGCAGCCCGCACCCGCCTCCTCCCGCGGTCTGACCTCTGCCAAGGTGACGCGGACGAAGGGCACCCGTCGGTCCGGCGCGCACGTCAGGCGCGCGTTTGCGCGTGCGCGCGCCTGTGCGGACGAGCGTGTGCGTGTGCGCGCGGACGTGCGCGTGCGCGTGCGCACGCCAGCGCAGCGCCGGAGACGCACGAGGCCCGGGGCAGGTAGCGGCAGCTGGCTGTTCTTCTCCTTCCGCCTTCCAGCGCGGGGTCCGGGCGAGGTTGGGCGAGGAGAAGGGAGCGGAGGGCCTGGGCCTGGCGTCTTTTCCTCTCGCCGCGCTTTCCTCGGGTGTGAGGGGCGGTGCGGGGAGTTGGCCCCCACCCCTGCGCTCCCCCCTTCCTCCCGCCCCCTGATTTTCGCGGTCCCTGAAACCCTGATTATCTCCACGTTGAAGATCAAAACACTCAGCCTTACCCCAAGAATAGGCCCTGAAATGTGTCTTGCGTCGCCGCCGCCAGGATCCTATTCATAAAAAGGCCTCGGTAGTCCTGTGAGAGGGTGCTTCCCGCAGCCCGGGTCAGGCTGGGGGTGCCCGTGTGTTTCTCATTGTAGAGTTCTGTTGTGGTAAATGGACTGAATCGTCCTGTCACCTGTATTGGAATGTCTGAGAGTCTAAAAAGGGTTAAGTCCAAACAGGTAGTTTGATGATAAGTATGAATTAAAATTACGTAACATTATTTTCCCTCTGCTCATTAACAGCTCACACCAAGCTCCTGAAAGAACATCTTGGCTATCGTTTCTTAGACCTGTAAGCTGTTTACGCGACAGTGGGTACCTGCTGGGCGTGCTGTGGTCTGTTACAGGAATGTTTCTGATCATCTAAATCTCAACCATGCTGTCAAACTGCTTGCAAAATTTTCTAAAAATGACAAACTCTCTTCTAATACATACACGATTATGCCAGCGATTAATAAGTGGAAGGAGGTTTTCCGAAACTGCGCCGACATCCAGCTTGCGTAGGCGGGTTGTCATTACAGGCATTGGCTTAGTGACTCCTCTTGGTGTTGGAACTCAGCTGGTATGGGACCGTCTTATTCAGGGAAAGAGTGGGATTGTTCCACTGGTTGGTGAAGAGTACAAGACTATACCTTGCAGTGTTGCTGCTTACGTGCCAAGAGGTTGTGATGAAGGGCAATTCAATGAACAAAACTTTGTGACCAAATCAGATGTCAAGGCCATGTCTTCTCCCACCATCATGGCCATAGGGGCTGCAGAGTTAGCCTTGAAAGATTCCGGCTGGCATCCCCAGTCAGAAGCTGATCAGCTGGCTACTGGTGTTGCAATCGGCATGGGAATGGTTCCTCTTGAAGTTATTTCTGAAACTGCTTTGATGTTTCAGACGAAAGGTTACAACAAAGTCAGCCCATTCTTTGTCCCTAAGATTCTGGTCAATATGGCCGCAGGCCAGGTCAGCATTCGACATAAACTCAGGGGCCCCAATCATGCAGTGTCCACAGCCTGTACCACCGGAGCTCATGCTGTGGGAGACTCCTTTTAGATTTATAGCCCACGGTGATGCTGATGTGATGGTGGCTGGAGGTACAGATTCTTGCATCAGCCCTTTATCGCTTGCTGGGTTTTCCAGAGCTCGGGCTCTGAGCACAAACTCTGATCCTAAGTTGGCATGTCGACCATTTCATCCAGAGAGAGATGGTTTTGTCATGGGAGAAGGTGCCGCCGTGCTGGTGCTAGAAGAACGTGAGCATGCTGTTCAAAGAGGGGCCCGGATCTACGCAGAAATTTTGGGCTATGGACTCTCAGGTGATGCTGGTCACATAACCGCCCCTGATCCTGGAGGAGAAGGTGCCTTCAGGTAAAGACTGGTGGTTTGTTCCAAATATTTCTTCAGATAAAACCCTTTATTGGAGTTTCAACTTGGAGAAATTGTAGTATTTGGCCTTAGTGTACTGCATCTCTGTTGTTTTTCCATGTTAGGCTAAACAGTTTTTTTGAATTCTTTGCTTTACTGTGTTCGATATATTTGAAAACATTTGATTATCCTTAAGAAAACTGGATTTTTAGTTAAGGACAGTGAAGTTGTGAAGAAGGCCATGTTCACATACCTTCAGTTGTGCTTAACAGCTGTGAGGGTGCTCCCTCGCACAAGCCCTTCATCAGACTTAGACAGGAAGATTAACGCTTTGATCTAGATGCATCTGGTCTCTGCTCCATTTCAGCACGGTTCTGCTGTTATTTAATTGGTGCGTCTCAACTTTTAATCGCTCTTATTAAAATGCCGAGTCTGACTATAGGTCTATGGTGGTGCTTGAGATTCTGCATTTCTCACAAGCCCCTAGGTCCTGCTGCTGGTCTGTGAACCACACTTAGAAAAGCAAGTTGCTATCATTGTAGAAGACATAGTGAGTTAAGTAAAAAAACAAAACAAACAAAAAAATGCCAAGCCCCCAAAATCCCTCTGATAATATGTTAATATGTTAGTGAATAATTTAGCTTACTTAGATCATATTATTTTTTAATCAGTTAAATTAGCCATGGGTTGGCAGCCTTTTCTCTAAAGGAATAAAAAATAAATATTTTTGGCTTTGTGAGCCATAATCTCTGACCCTTGAACAACACGGGTTTGAACTGCTTGGTTCCACTTACATGCCACTTATTTCACTAAATAAATACAGCAGTACTGCGTGATCTGCAGTAAATCCGTGGATGTGGAATTGGGGATGTGGATGGCCAACTGTTAAGTTACAGAGAATTGTCCACTGTGCCGAGGGGAGGGGGCAGCACCCCTAACCCCTATGTGGTTCAAGGGCCAAGTGTATTTGCAAAAACAGGAATCTAGCCAATGTCATAGTTCACCGACCCCTGAATTATACTTTTTAGTTTTAGTGAGTAGTTGCTGGTGCTGGAAATGTCAAACATAGTAGCCAGCTAGATGAGGAAACAGTTATGTTTAGGTGAAACCTTTCAGCACACTTCAAATTATACTCTGAGCTGCCTCTGATGGAAGTATATGCAGCCCAGAGATCAAGAACTAAAAGAGAAGGTGTTAACATCCATGGGATTTTTCAAGGATTTTCCCAGAGAAATGTTTTATTTTTGGATTTGTTTATTTTTTGGTTTAGCTTTATACTTCATTTATTTAGATTCTTATAGCCTGAATAAGAGGATTTTGAAAGGTTATTTGAAGCACTGAAGTAATGGTACAGACATTTTTTAGCTTACTGGGAAATTTTTTAGCTTATTGGCCAAGTTTTACATTTAAATATGAAAGAAAAAATTAAAATATAGTTATAAATTTTCTTCTCCCCATTTTAACTCTACTTACATACCGCACTGGTAAAAAATTCTTAATTTTCATGGCTTTTTCCTCAAGGACAAAAAGGGCATTTCAAATACAATGAAAAGTTACAGATTATAAAATCCACAGGCTTGTATGTTTCTCACGTGTGATGAATCAGTCCCAGGTTCTGGGGATGACTTTATTCCCATGCAGGTGGCATTCTTGCTCACATGTTGATCCAAGATGCTGTTCTGTTACTAGGCTGTTGTTAGAGCATAAAAAATTTTCATCCAGTGTACTTGGCTATTGCTTTTACATAAGCTATGCAGATAATACATTTCTTGTTAAAATTAAATGTGGTTCTGATACATCCAATTTCCTTTCCTATCTTTTTAGATGTATGGCTGCTGCTGTAAAAGATGCAGGTGTACGACCTGAAGAGGTGTCCTACATCAACGCACATGCTACTTCTACACCGTTGGGAGACGCTGCTGAAAACAAAGCCATCAAACGTCTTTTCAAAGACCATGCCCAGGCCCTCGCAGTTTCCTCTACCAAGGGAGCCACGGGACATCTGCTGGGGGCTGCGGGGGCTGCTGAAGCAGCTTTTACCGCCCTGGCTTGTTACCATCGAAAACTGCCACCCACCTTAAATCTGGATTGTACAGAACCACAGTTTGATCTCAATTATGTTCCAGTCAAGGCACAGGAATGGAAAACTGAGAAAAGATGTATCGGACTCACCAATTCATTTGGCTTTGGTGGTACTAATGCGACACTTTGTATTGCTGGCTTGTAGGTCAAATCATTTGCAATTAAACATTGATTTTTTTAATGTTATAAACTGCATTCAGTGGAGAAATAATATGTTTATATAAATCCATATCCTTATATATCCATACCCAGATATCCTTTACCTTTGTCAAGGTTTCTCAACCTTGGCGCTGTTGATATGTTGAGCAGGAGAATTTTTTGTTGGGGAAAGAGGAGGGGAGCTGTGTTATATTAACAGTATCCTAGTCTTTACCCACTAGATTCTAATAGCACCTCCTTCCCCAGTTGTAACAACCAAAAATGTCTCTAGACACTGCCAGATGTTTCCAGGAGGTGGGGGGAAGGAGGAGCCCCACGTGAAAAGCACTGATCTGTGTTTTCCTGATGCTCTAGGTCAAACGACTCTTCACGACATTTCACCCACTCTTGTCCCTTTTGCAAACATTTGGCAAATAGCTGCTCTGTGCTAGGTATTCCAACTCCAGGCACACCATTCCCAGCCAGCGTATAGAGAAGGAGTACAAATATAACCGTGAGTTTCTTATCACTGGTCAGCACTCTTTGAATGTAGCTGTCAGCCAGCAGGGATCTGTTCACCCCTTACCTGTCCTAGCCCTCTTATTCCTATTGTCTTTACTGAAATTAAGCAAAGTAACAGAATTTCCTTAAATTTCCAAGCTATCAGTGCTCTGAAAGAAGGAAGTGAAATTGGTTTGGTACTTCTTATTCTTTTTGTATGTATGGTGACACCTAGTGAGCAGTGGAGATGAAGGTCTTTGGGAAGTGGAGCAGAACTTGGGGACTCAAGCCACATCACCTCGCCCACCTCTAGCTTTGTTGCTGCTGTGGTAGATGGTTTTGTGTGCCTCCACCATCTCACCACAAGTGCTGGTGGGGCCTCCACCTCTTCCACCTTGGGGGTTCTCCATCTGGCTGGAATTGTTGGGAGGGGGAGGGGGGCAATTTCCCTAAAGGCAGCACTTAACCAGCTAGGGTGGGAGGTGGATAAGCACCTCGGCCTCCTTTCAGAATGATACCTAAGGTTCTGTATAGTTCCTGGGGTTTCCAGTGAGATAAAGCTTCAGTGCCCCCAACATTAACCAGCTCAGTAACACTCTTTTTATTGGCTTTTTTTCCCTTCCCTGTTCCTGCTCTGATTTTTAATCCTGCTCAGGAATCACTTCCTAAACAAACCACTTTGTTCTCATTTCTGCTTTCTGGGGGACTCAGACTAAGACGGGAAGTCTGTGTTGGAATGGCGGTTTATATATCAAAGGGATAAAGTTAACAACTGGGTAGATGGAATGTGTGTATTTCTGCCGAAGTGAACAGCATTCCCCACATGCTAATAGGCTGCCAACATTGTTTGCCCACTGACTTTGCTATATGCCTAAGACTCCAGCCATGTTCGTTCTGCTATAATCAGTTTTAAATCCCACTGGCACACAGTTTGTTCCACTAAAATTTATTGGGTGCTAACTATGGACCTGGTTTTATTCTGGCCACCAGCGGTAAAGTGATGCATCAAAGTTTTGTTAATGCAGTAAATGTCATGGGAAGCCATTTAAGGTTTGCGGTGTTACGATGGTTTTGTAATGTATCTAGTTGGCTGGGCTGAACTGCATTTCCCAGAATTCTCTTCACTGTGCTTTTGGTTAGCGCCGACCACAAGAGATTCCTGTGGGATACTTGCACAGTGGTTGTGAAGCAGCAAGCGTTCTGTAGCTCATATGTGTCCTGGCTCTGGTGGCTGACTTTCTTGAGGTGAGGCAGTGGCTGGACCTCCAGCTGCTTCACCTGGCCCTGGATCCTTCTTCAGTTTCCCTGACTCCTGGGCCAGGTTTGTGTTGAGCTTCATGAATGGCCCAGCTTCTGCCCCGTGCCATCAAGATCAGAGGCAGCAAGAACTGATAGACTTCAATTCATCCTTATGGTTGTGCTTTCTAGCTGGTTATTAGAAGTTTACATCCGCTTTCCCTTCCTGACTGCCTGCGTGGTGGACTGCAGTCGCCAGCAGCAGACGGTAATAGATTGACATAACAGCCTTAGAGAGACTATTTAGCCAGTTCTCATAACTGTAGGTCAAGTCCCTATAACAAATGTCTAAATCTGTATCTGCCTTGGTGGGTCTCTTTCTCTGAACCCTGACTGGTACACGTGAAGACGAATGGGAGTTGTCAGTAGAAGATCATATTTCCTTTGACAAATACCACTCTGGCTGTAGAGTGGAGAACAAGATGGGGGGAGGCCGGATTCCTATGGAGGGGATCCAATCAGAAGGGATAGCAAGCAGGATGTTTTGACCCAAGGCTATTCTAAAGTTGAAAATCATGTTTGTTTAGTCAGTTTTACTAAGGCATACTTTATATACAGTAAATTGCACACATTTCAAATGTACAGTTCAGTGGGTTTGATAAAGGTGTACAGAGACCTGTGGAAGTACCTCCATCAAAATATAGAACGTTTCTATCACTGGAAGAATTTCCTGTTGCTCCTTTGCAGTCAATCCTCCCAGCTCCAGAAGAACCTTCTGTCACTACGGATAAAATTTGCCTTTTCTAGAATTTTATGTAAATGGAGTCATACAGAATATACTCTTTGGTGCCTGGTTTCTTTCACTCAATTTTTTTTGAGATTTATCCATATTATTGAATGTATCAGTAGTTCATTCCTCTTTTATTACTGATTAAAAGAATTTTTTTTAATCAGTATGGATACCTTTGACTTTTAATCTTTCCCTAATCCCTACTCAGCTTATTTTATATTTTACTTTATCTCACTATTATTTTTTAAATGGATATGTATTGCCTTTTGAACAGAAGACAAGCATTTAAATTTTTTTTCTAGAGCTGTGATAGGTTCTGAAGCAAAGAATCCTTCCTGCGAAAATCACAAATGTACAGGGATACAATTGTTCAGAATTGATCCTTGAACAACATGGATTTGAACTGAGCAGGTGCACTTATGCATGGATATTTTCAATAGTAATAATACAGAACCACAGATATGGAGGGTTGGCTATGAAGTTATACAGATTTTTGACTGCACACTGGAGAACGGGGGTCAGCACCTCTCACTCCTGCATTGTTCAAGGGTCAACTGTGTGTATGTGTGTACGGTGTATAGAGAAAGGTAGGTGTGTCTATAACAAGTTATACAACACTTTTGAGAATACAGAACTGCTAGAAGTTTGAGAATTATTTTCAGTGGTCTAGTGCCAACAGCCATATATCCTCCACTCCCTCTGGGTCTTTATGTTTAAAAAGTGGACCACTTAGGATAATAGAAGTCATAATAGTTAGCTCTTATTTTAATTCAGGTCTGCTCTGAGAAGCAGGCACCAAGGCAGGATTTTCCGTGTAGGAAATTTACTGGGGGAGATGCCCGTGAAGGCTGAAGAGGATGAGAAGGCAGGGAGCAGCTTCAGGCTGTGGTAAGAGTCTGGCATCTGTAAAGAGTGGGGGAATGGGGATGAAGGATTAGGTAGAAGGGTCTCAGATTGAAGTCTCACTCTAAGAAAGTTTTCGCCAGGCTGACATGCTCAATCTTGACCTAAAATCTCTTATCGAAGGGGCTGCAAAACTCTCAGGAGTGGACCTGCATTAGTGCCCCCACCCCTGGCCACAGTGCTGCCTGGACCCTGCAGGAGAGAGGATCTACCCTTGTACCACAGACAGCTGCTTCACCAGGTACGTTTAGGGGGCAGCTCTCCCGTGGTTCCTGTGGGCCCCTCTTTCTGAAGGAGCATTTAGAAGAGAAAGTTAGGGGGACAAGCAGTAGCCCCTGATGCTGCATTTGATTTTAGGTTCGCACTGGTACCCGTCCTTTCCCTAAGCCACTATTCTTTCTAAGTTCCCCTGGCCCCCAGCTATTAGCTTGGCAGGCCTTGGGGCTTCCCCAGTCGTGTGGCTCAAGCCTTTCTTCCTGGGAGTGGGAGCCCTTGGCAGTCACACCACTCCCTTTCAGAGAGCAGTTGCAGCTGTATCCTAGGGCACCGGGACAAGAAGCCAGGGAATGCCAGGAGGCACCCAAGTAGACCGCCCAAATTCCACACATACTCTCCCTGTCCTGACTACAGAGCAGCACGACCACCTCTATCTAGCTGGTTAGGGTCAAATACTACAACCAGTATGTTGACTTTCTGGTTTCCGGGCACAAAAAGTCCAAAGTGTCCTGGTGGTAACTATAGCTTGTTGTTCAACGAGACACTTGATGTGTCCCCTGGCAAGAGTGTGTGTGCCCTTTGGAGATCAGAACTTTGAACGCTGCAGAGTCCAGAGTTGCAAGGATGGAAAGCATGAAATTCCTCATTGTGACTGGATCAGCGAGAGTGATGGTAAATGGGGCCACTCCTGTTCCCCACCCCTCTTTGTCTCTGGACCTCTGTGTTCTTCTTATTGGAGACTTAGCCCCAGATAGATGTCTTTGATTTAAGCATACACTGCATCTTGAGGATGACACCACATCCTCCGAGCTGGTGATTCAGGTGTGTCATTGGAAGGCAGTTCAGCCTTCTAGGAGGCTGGCTGCTTCTGCGTGGTGTGATGTCATACAACCCATGCCATATGCCCACAGCCTGTCTTTGCTGTGAAGTAGCTCCCCTGCTCAGTGTCGGAGGTCACCAAGAGGATGTGTGTCAGAGAAATAACCAACTTTCCTTGCCACCTGCATTATAATGAACTCTCATCAGATCTTTAACCATGGCCATTTTCAAGTCTTTTGTCATTTACAGACATTTGTCATGCTCTGATGCTTTTGCAAAAGTGTTCCTCCAAGAGTGCTTCATCTTCAAGGAGATTCATGGAAAAATACAGGTTTCAGATAACTAAAATCATACCACTAAAATGAATAAGAATTTACAGAACTCTAATGAAAAACACTGATCAAGATGACTATAATTTTTATGAATTTTTAAATTGGAAATATTGCTGGTTCTTTTACGTTTTATTTTTGCACATTTAAGAAAATCTTTTTTCCCCTCCTAAACTATCAGCAGTTTGCTAACATATACCATTGTGAACAAAGATGAAACATTTATCTTTTTCTCCCTACCCGATCCCTCCTGAATGCAGAAGTCTTAGAACGAGTATTCTCATTTTCAGGGCAATCTAGTTACTTGCATAGGTTCAATAAGACTCTGTTCTTCTTGTAACAGGAATAAACTGCAGCAGCCTGTGGGCTAAATTCAGCTCACCGGTGAGTCCTGGCCATTAACCCTTTGCACTGACAGTTGGGCTGTTCTAAAGGAATTAATTCTATGGCTTGGACAATGGGAAGCCAAGAGGTGGGTGGTCACAAATAAGCCCTTCTCGGGTCAGGATGTGTGGAGAGACGTGTGGGTTCACCCTCAAAAGCCTGTGTTAGTCTTCACTGTTTCTACCTCCCAGCTCATAAGGTGCTGACCCCTACCCCCTGCAGTAAGGATGCTGATGCCCTGGCTCTGGTATGAGCCCTAGTAACTGACCCTTCAGTAGATACATGAGTAGGTGGGGTGCATAGGAAGAGTGGCCACTGTAGCACCAGGATGGGATTGCACACTGCCAACGATCCTGGATTGCCCTTGCGATACAGTGAGTCAGTTAATGCAGCAAGAACATGCCCTGTGTGTTCTAAACAGTGCCCAAGGCAGCTGCTAAAGGAGCCTTCTGGGGCTATCCACTGGAGTTCCCAACCAATGAGAGATTGGCAAATTTATTGTGTTGGCCCCCTCCCTCCGAGTGAGGGTTTTAAATATGCCCTGCTTCACGTGGACACTGCAGCTGCCCTAACCCAAGCTTTCCCTGTCGCCACACAAACCAAGCTGCCACTGTTAGGTGATTAGAGAAACTGAGTGCCATATACTGATAACCCTCGTCAATAGTGGTCAAGGATCACATTTCAAAGGCCGTGGTGTGCAAGATTAGGCAGAAGAACATGACACTGAATGGAGGTTCCACCTCCTGTATAACCTGCAAGCAGTAGATTAAATTACTAACAGGTGAAACCACCTTGGCTGGGTGGGCTAAGACACTGTCCCAGACTTTGTGCATTTAAATAACCAACCAGTAGGGACTGTTGCCCCATATTCCAGACTGGGGACCCCTGTCAAGACAATCAATGTGGAAGTTTTGGGAGACAGCCATGCCCTGACTCTCACCTTGGATAAACATGCTGTGCTGCTGAGAACCCCCAGCCCCATCACGCTTGGGACAAGTGTCCTTGACTGGAATTTGCAATGGGATGTCTCACCAGGACAGGAGAGTTGCTTCCTCCCCCTGCATGAGGGGGAACTACGCAGTCTCCACTGGGATCCCGTTGTCTGCTGCCAGCTGGGCCTGTGGAAACACACTCTTCCTGGATTGGAACGTGCACCATTGAGAGAGGGGAGAAGGTGGGCATCCTGTTCTGGCATATCCCACCCCTAGTCTATCTCCCCATGCCTGACAGTGCTGTCTTCCTAGCCATGCATGGTATGCACAGCCAGGTCAAGTTC